GCCATTTTAAAAACCGAAAACGACCATGGAAATTACGAGTATTTGAAAGAAAAAACAGAGCGAGGAGAACGCGTTGTGGTTTTTGCGAATGGGATTTTCCGCACGCTACCAACTCGGTTAAGACACTACTCGTAGGCTAACACGCTTGCACGTTGTTTTTCTTGTTAAATCAATTGTTTGAGATATGTTACAAAAAAGTATTTTCAGCTAAAGACATCAAGGTAATAACAAGCCGATCTACATTTTACCTGAGGGCAGTGGAAGGAAACTTCCGCGGATTGCAGATTTCCAATGGCTGAAGGAGTAAACTTGAGCGGCACTTCTAACACACTGCCAGCTGCCAGGAGAATCTGTTTGGAATTGTCAAGCTCAAGGCTAAAGTTATTAGTATTGGAGCAGTGAGGTGTAAGCACCAGTGACTCATCTGTTGGATTCCGTAGGCGAATCATCTGATAGGTGGAGCTGAGAAAACAAACGGAACTCAGTCGGTTGAGATTATGAGAGTTTTAAAAGACTAAATTGACTTTTTAAGCATTGAACGATGTGATTAGGCTTGGACTTACAACCTTACACACCACATTATATTTTTCAAATGATAAAAATTCTCATGGCTACGTAATGTTTGTTTGTTCGATTGACCGGCGTATTCCGAAATAGGAATAAATGGAATATACTCTAAAATTCACTTGTTTTGGTATTTATTGCGTTGCAATCTCTAAATATCTGCTTGAAACGATACGTGTAGCGTTTAAGTGGTCCAAAAATTATCGCACAAGAGATGTGCCACAAAACTGTTGCGCAATTTTATCCCAGAATACGATCAATCGAACGCATCCTTGATTAACACTTACTTGCCAATTTCGCAGTGAATAGAGGGTAGGGTGACCGGAAGAGGCGTGGTTGCTTTCAGTAACAGGTTATACCAGAATTCACCCACAGCTTCATTCTGGAAAACCACACTGCAAGAGGAACGTAAAAGAGTGAAAAGTATTATCTGCAAAGTACGCAAAGAGTCCTGAAATCTTCCGCTTTTCTGTGAGCGAAGTTTTAGAGATAAGACTTATACCCGCCTACCTTCCAGTGTGTTCACCAGTGACGGTTGGCGAAAATGTCACGTGATATGTAACTTGTTGCCTTGGATGCAAAATGACCGTGGGCTCACCAGATAAAGCCACGCCTTCAATAAGTACATCCATAACAATCCTTTCGCGGGTGGGATTCGTCACCGCCATGTCTACTGCCACTACGGAGTGTGCAGCACACGTGACTTCTAAGGTTCTCTCAGGGGGAGGTGCTGAGGCTTGAACTTCAATAGTGTACCATAAGCGATAGGGTCTCTGGCGTGAATCAGATGCGAGCTCCTGAGCTTTAAAGGGAACATTTTGACCGTCTTCATCTTCCTCATCAACTTGTACCCTGAAAACAAATTGATCTATTCTTATACCACTTTACACAACAAACCACAGAAACAAAATTCACCAAGTCTTTTAATGTTCATGATTCCTTAGCTACTTTTTCAGTTTGAATGTATTCACCTCGCTGCTCCAGAAGAGTCCCCAAATGATTCAAATGAAACAATTCCAGTAAAAGCGCCTCGTTTCCAGGGTGAGACCGTTATCACATGCTCAGCAGTTTTGCCAGGAAGAACTGTTACTGAAGCTGGGCCACTGACAATGTCCAAGTCAGTCTTCACCTAACAAGAAACCACAAGAACCTTGACACAGGTTTGGCAATTTGTCACTTAAAGAATTCAAACAAAAAACAAACAGAATTTCGTGCCCTTACTGGAACTACACTAAAAGCCCGGTACTTGTTGCTATGCTGTAGTTACATTCACCTGTTTTCGATTTTGGTGTGTGTAAATATGCTTTAACTGGTCAGCTCACAGGGGTTACTCAGGTGTAATAGAGACAGGGATGGGCAATCCCTTACTTGGTGTCGACCTATCATGTTTTTAGGTCAAAAATTAATATTTCGAAAAAAAGAAGACCTCGGTGCAGACATTTTTCAGTTGGAAAAACAGAAAGGCCACCCAGGGTTATCATTTTTAAAGTAAAAAAATTGCAAATGTCTCGAAGCCGCCCAGCTTTTAAAACCAATTTATTTGTGGAAGGACTTTCCTCGTGTCCTTTTCCTGAACCGATAGACGTTTGGAGTCCGGTTTTGGCTTTCCTGAGGTATAACAACTTCGCATACTTCTGCCACTATTTTACAAAATTATCATCCCCACCCCGTCCCCCGAAAGGACTAGTAATAGTTTGCTCTTATGACATTCTAATAAAAACTACTTATATGTCTCAAACTCAAATGAAAGCGAACATGAAACAACACAAGTCGACTTCTTATAATTCTGGATTATGTACCACTTTTTAGCTGACAACGCCTCGGCAGATAGGAGCTTTACGGCAGAACATACAGCCTGGCTTCTGTGTCTCCTGATTCATTCCGTAGTGCTTCGAGACCTTCAATATTGGGGTAAGAAGTTTCTATACAAACCTGAAAAACGAGTTTGTTTCTTGTCACGTTCGGTACTTGCAGGGTGTAGGTGGCACTGTTAACAGAATAGATTAATTATTTCAATTGGTATTTTGGACTTATTCCGTGTCTGTAATGCTCCAGTTTGTCCATAGGCAAAACGAAAAGTTAAACAGCAGGACAAAATAGTGGAGACCCGAGTGCTAAATTTACGTATAATAATCGAACTAATAACCGCTTAAACTGGGGTTGTTATGAAACAGAAACTTAAGCTAATTATAGGGTAAAGCCATTTATCCCAAGCTAAAACTGCTAGCCTGCGAGCATCTCGCGCCGGCGTTCTCTGGTGTTTCGCATCGTTCGCAATAAATGGAGAGCTTGCTAACAGGCTATGAAACTGCAGACTGATAGATCTTAGCAAAGACAAACAAGCATAAACTGAAACGACGCGCAACACTTAGGACAAAGAATCAATCTAGGTACAAGTTTAAAAAAAAAATAATAAACAGTTTCAGTATGCCTCTCCAAAGACAGTTAGAGGTTTGTAAGGCTTGTTATCGTCACCTTTCTCTTGCGGGACACTCTATCAAGATATGATCCAGTGGTAGTGGTTTCTGTCCTGTTCCTAACAGTTTATAGACCTGTTCCGTACCATCTACTGTGTTCGTCAGAACCAGCCTTCCCTGAGTGATGAGACAAACGCATACATATCAAAACTTTCAAACTTAGCAAAGCCCAATTGCGGAGTAAATACAAAAGTGATATATGGAGTGTGTATGGAGCCCGTATTATTCTTATGGAAAACTTAGCAAACTTGATTGAATAATAGTCTTTAAATCTTCTACAAATCGCCAAATTGAGGTTTTAAATATTAATAGGGAGCTTTAACCCGAGAACGCTGACATCCAGGACTGCATAAATAGCAACCGGAGGTTTGTTTTTCCCTTGAATGAACGCCTCTGTCTGACAAAACAAATTAAAAAAAAAAATACAACAACAGATTTACTTAACTCCTGTAGTATGACTTTGTCCAGTCAGATCACTGTAAGAGGGAAACGATAAACTTCTTCTTGTTTTCTTTTTTAACACCATGAACGTCAACGTTCTCGTTGCTTAAGTTCGCTAATATCAAGAGGTGGGGGATACTGAGAGGAGACAGGAAGTAGTCCAAACACGTCACCTTCCCCACCCTCAAAGATCCGTTCTTACTCAGCACTCACCTCTACGTTTCCCTCGTAGGAAGGTCTAAACATCAGGGGGTAGTGGGTGGAGAGGTGTGATTTGGCTACCATAACAGGAGGTCCGTAAAAACCCTCCCCCTCTATGGTCGCCGCCAAATGCCAATCTTGATTACTTTGGTTAACCTAAAATGATACAGAGAATGCAGCAGATTTTGCGTTAATCACGTGATCTGATCACGCCCCATACACCCACCTCATTTGACTGTTCATCCTGAAGCCCACAACTGATTCCTTATTCAGACCAACAGATTCGATAGTAATGACATCGTCTACTTCCGGTTCAGTAGCTAACACTCGGATGGGAAATCTCCACACTCCACCGGAAGCGGCCGTGATCATCAGCTGTGTCTTGTGGCTGCAAAAACGAACAGCAACGAGAAAAAAACCTCTCAGTTCCCCTCACACCGCTGACTGGATGAAAGCATGATATAGGATTTAGAGTCCGGTGATTCAAAAAAGACTTGAGGTAACACATTGTTCATCCAAATTTGAATTCAGATCTGACTATATCAAAGTAAATTCCTATAAACTGTTTCACCTTAAAAATAAAACTTGGACCTGCCGTGAGCGAACACTCAAAATGGCAGGTTAAGTGGTCTATCTAGGAAGGCGTGGTTCGAGATCATTTTGTTGGTCGTCGGAAGCGATGCTGTTGAGCATTTCTTTTACGGCTAATGACCTTGACCAAATTTGGAAGATGCGAGCAAGATACCATCGATTCGATAGTATCTTTGTTGGCAAACAAGGTTGATCGATGGTATATTTACACGGAAACGAGGCTGCTTGGGCAATACCTCTTTCCAGGAGCTGCCACCTAGTTGTCTATTCACGAGTGAACTACAAAAAATAGCTTCCACGGCTATCCGTAGACGAAATAGCTGAATTTCCGAAGACTGAACGGAAGAAATAAAAGAAAACGCAAAACATATTCCTCCACGGATATTATCTACGTTTTGGATATCCTGAAACCGTGCCAAGAAATAGGCCAAAGTTTTGAAGACCGTCTTGGAGAAGGCAACCTTCTTAAGAACTAAGAAATATTTTTAATAAACAATAAAGTAATTATTGAATTTGGCTTTCTTATGAGGTGAAGAATTATGCTGATCTCAGGGGATGTTATCCACCTCGACCGACAAAAAAGATTCTACTCGATCTGCATAATTCTTCACATCATTCTCAGCCTTCTTCAATGATAGTTAATTAACTTAAAAAAATCAGTTTGGAGCAGTGGGATATGGTATAACACAGGATTAAAATTCAATGCAAGACCGAAACATTTTGAAGTTACCTGAACGGCTTGAATGGTGAAAACACGAAGTTAAACAAGAGAATGACTACCCCAGAAACTTGATTTTTCATCTTTCTTAACAGACTTACACCCAATGACCTCTCCAGACAGGATTGGCTTTCGGCGTCTTCAAAAATGAGTTCGTATCTGAAGCATAAATAAAGATTGTAAATTTCTAGGGATCATTGTGAATTTGTATGTGTAATCAAATGGTGACGAGTGAAATTAGGGAATAATTTCACGCGCGTTTGTCCAAATCCTAATAATTTCCCGAGCCTTCAGGCGAGGTAAATTATTAGGATTTGGACAAAACGCAAATGAAATTATTCCCTAATTTTACGAGTATACCATTTGATTATCTATTAATATCATGGGTGACGAATTACGTTAGCAATCTTGGTTTTTTGACATGTTTATCCTGGATCGTATCGATCGAGAACTCCACTCTCTCAAATGTTTTGCCTGCGTGCAGACGTCTCCTATTTCCTTTGTTGCACGCGGGAAAGGGACGTCTGCGTAACGCCGTCGCTAATCGTGTTCCAGCGTCCCGCTGGCAGGGTATTCTATTTCGCATAAATTGTGAAATAATATCCGGTTAGAAATAAGAGTTGACAGGCCAAACAAAACATCATAAGCTCGTGATACGGGCGAAACGTGACCTTGAGAGTCTGCTTGAACAGAGGTTTTTCTTCTTTTCTCTCTCGCGCGAAGATTACTAGCACTACACAGTGCATGTAGCATTCTAACCTTTGACTGAGTAAATCTCATTTTTGCCGCGCTAAGTCTTACATTTAGAGGTCATGAAGCAGGTTTGTTACATGCATACTGAGTAATCATTTCCTGTGGTTTATGCTTCTGTGGGTGTTCCCGATAGGATTTGATTTCAGATGCAGTTGTAAAGTGTTTAAATTTTCTTGACCTCTGTTTGTTACGGCTAAATAAAGATTTTAGTTTCTTTGGCTGGCTTTCTCCGAAATGCCTGCCTGGTGCGAAGTCCACGCCGCTTTTGTAGTTTTCTCAGACACTGTTTACAAATATGATGTGATGTGTCATGCACAGTAAATTGTAAAGAAATAATTTCCTCGTACACGTTAAATTTTCCGCGTCCCCGCACAAGATTTCGATCGCTCTGCTTTTCGATCGACGAAAAACACAGCATACAATCGCACATGTTTTGATTTGTTTTGGTTAGAAAACCCCGCTTACATAAATCACTTAAATCACCGCATACATTATCAGACCACATTCGATAACAACCAATCAGCGTTAAGTCAAACAATGCGCACTGTGTGTCAGCCTATCGCAGCGTGTTCCCAAGATCTTGGGAACCCAGCAGGACGCTGGAACACGATTAACGACGGCATTACGCAGACGTCCCTTTTCCGCGTGAAACAAAGGAAATAGGAGACGTCTGCACGCAGGCAATCAAATGTTTAGACCTTAAATTTGGCTTATAAAGTTCAGAATTTTTCAGACTTTTTGTGGCAAAATACCTATTAGAATCCTTCTTGATGTTCTCTTGTGTGTTCAGGTTTTCTAAAGCGTCTTTTTGTGCCCTGACATCTTCATTCACGGCATTTTAAAACTTCGTCGCCATCTTGACACTGAGACGTACGGAAGGGTTGCCATGGCAATTTTGTAATTTCACATGTGAAATTACAAATTAACGCTGAAATTTCGCACCAAAATTAAGGAGTAATTCGTCAGCTATGATATTACTAAGGATATTACGTGGCTTAACCTATCTTACAAGTTTTTACAATATCATGCTCTGATTTGCTTGTAACCTGTTTACGGGTTGCAAAGACAACAGGCTGGAGAAGAAAGGTTAAAACCCATGTTGAGTTGACCAATGGAAATCTTGAACCACTACCCTCTTACGACCCTACAAGTTTTCCAAAAAACGTTTCCTACAGAAAGAAATGAAGCCAAGTAAAATTCCAAGGAAGGAAAAAATAGGAAGGGATACGAATAAGAAACGCGAAAGATAAAAATCAAATTCCGTCCATGCCTGAACTTTCAAAGCTGATATTTTGGCTTAAGGACAGAAAACGTCGAAGTGATTGATGTACAAACAGTGTTTTGGGTAGGTTTTGTTTCTTTTGGCCTGATAGTTGTACAGAAAACCTCTCGACTAGCTTGGACAAAATTTCTAGGAGTGAAAGGGTTAATAAAGAAGATGACGCTATATTTGTTATGAAGAGATATAATTACCTAAATTCTTCTGGCACGTTCAAGTAATCAACTCCATATTCCATTTCTCCAGGCACATGACGTCCCAGCAAATTAATCGGAGTAATACTTGGATACCGCCCTAAGCCGGAGCCCGCGGTATTAGGGGCCAACCCCGTCAGTGTCACCTCTATCCTCTCTTCCACGCGGCTCCGGGCCTTACACTCTACACAAGGGGCCTGGGACGCCTTGATGGGATAGGACTCGGGGATCCCCCTAACGGGAAATATCCAGTGAAGGTCATTGACCATACGGGTGCTCATCATGCTCGGATAATCGCCTTTCCAAGAGTTCTCAGGGTCTTCTTTGTGAATGGTCACTGTTACTGTAGCCTCGTACATCTGCATGGTGTCTGGCGCAAAGGAGATTGGGATATCCAGAGTCGCACCAGGCTCCAGTGGGATGCTTTTTGCGCGTTTGAGAAGAAGGCAGAAGACCGAGGCTTTAGGCTGCGAGTCAAGACGCATATTAAACAAGCCGCCTGAAAGTAAATGAAAGAAGAGTAATAAAAGGTAAAAGATAAAATAAAAGCATACACGTGCACGTATCAAAAGTGCTACATAACTTCAGTATGAAAAACAATCCTATGGTGTTGTGTTGTTTCTGCTTAATATTATATACATAAGCACATTTATTATATATTATATATTTATTATTATGTACTTGTGATATTATACAACTATCCCCCGACAGGGAGGTGAACAGGATATATACCGAGACGCGAGCGTCGAGGTTTATATCTAGCGCTGTTCACCGACCCTGAGGGGGATAGTTGTTTTAGTATTTACCAAATCAGTTGGATAACAAACAAAAAAAGTAAATTTTTGTAGATTAAAAACGTCACTTAGTAGGAACTTTGTCTACAATTTGCAAAGATTTCGGGGATTTTGTCGAATGCATTTTTACGATTTTGTTGTAAATTCAGCATGAAACTAATTTTTCTACCTACCAGTAAACGCCGAGAAGACAAAGTTCGTCGCTTTCTTGGTATTTGTTCGTACGACTGCTTCATTTGTAGCTCAAGTTTTGTCTTCCGAAAATGTCTTGAAACGACACGCCATCTTGGCTCCGGTCGCAAAACAGTGAATAGCCAAGGATATTCCGAGTTACGGGAGCCAATCAAAACTCCAAAAATTGCTATTCACTGATTTGGTAAATACTACAATATTATACATCACAACAGTAACAAGGAAAAATCTCACCACTCCTCGACAAGAGCCGTTCCTTCATAATGACATCAACAACCACTTGTCTTTCAGTTGGGTTTCTAAACGGAATTATAACTGAAGAATTTCCACCAAGCTCAGAGTAGATATTAATAGGATCCATAGGACCAGGCATCATCCCGGTACCATGCGCGTAAAATACCCAGTTTCCAAGCTACAATGGCGAAAAAAGAGCTGATGTTACTTTGCGTACGAATTTGCACACTTCCATGCAAAAGTTTCGACCCGGTGCGAGTAAACCTCCTACAGGACAAAATGAAAGGCTACTTAAAGTGCACGAGTGTGATTGAGAAAATATCCTCATTTTCGGTTAGGTGATTTTGTCTGTTCCAGCTCTGTTGGGAGAAATGATCAGGTTGCGAATACAACCTAGTGTCACTGTACAACCTCCTTTCCACGGTCTTTTCGTTTTCTTGTCTTCTTGTCTCTGCCATTTTAAAAACCAAAAACGACCCTGGAAATTACGAGTATTTCAAAGAGAAAACAGAGCGAGGACAACACTGGGCGTTGCGTTGTTTGCGAATGGGATTTTCGGTACGCTACCAACTCGGTTAAGACACTATTCGTAGGCTAGCATGCTTGCACGTTGTTTTTCTTGTTAATCACTCGTTTGAGATGTTACATGTTATGTTATATGTATTTTCAGCTAAAGACATCAAGGTAGTATCAAGCCGATCTGCATTTTACCTGAGGGCAGTGGAAGGAAACTTCCGCGGATTGCAGATTTCCAATGGCTGAAGGAGTAAACTTGAGCGGTACTTCTAACACACTGCCAGCTGCCAGGAGAATCTGTGTGGAATTGTCAAGCTCAAGGCTAAAGTTATTAGTATTGGAGCAGTGAGGAGTAAGCACCAGTGACTCATCTGTTGGATTCTGTAGGTGAATCATCTGATAGGTGGAGCTGAGAAAACAAACGGAACTCAGTCGGTTGAGATTATGAGAGTTTTAAAAGACTAAATTGACTTTTTAAACATTGAACGATGTGATTAGGCTTGGACTTACAACCTCACACACCACATTATATTTTTCAAATGATAAAATTCTCACGGCTACGTAATGTTTGTTTGTTCGATTGACCGGCGTATTCCGAAATAGGAATAAATGGAATATACTCTAAAATTCACTTGTTTTGGTATTCATTGCGTTGCAATCTCTAAATATCTGCTTGAAACGATACGTGTAGCGTTTAAGTGGTCCAAAAATTACAGCACAAGAGATATGCCACAAAACTGTTGCGCAATTTTATCCCAGAATACGATCAATCGAACGCATCCTTGATTAACACTTACTTGCCAATTTCGCAGTGAATAGAGGGTAGGGTGACCGGAAGAGGCGTGGTTGCTTTCAGTAACAGGTTATACCAGAATTCACCCACAGCTTCATTCTGGAAAACCACACTGCAAGAGGAACGTAAAAGAGTGAAAAGTATTATCTGCAAAGTACGCAAAGAGTCCTGAAATCTTCCGCTTTTCTGTGAGCGAAGTTTTAGAGATAAGACTTATACCCGCCTACCTTCCAGTGTGTTCACCAGTGACGGTTGGCGAAAATGTCACGTGATATGTAACTTGTTGCCTTGGATGCAAAATGACCGTGGGCTCACCAGATAAAGCCACGCCTTCAATAAGTACATCCATAACAATCCTTTCGCGGGTGGGATTCGTCACCGCCATGTCTACTGCCACTACGGAGTGTGCAGCACACGTGACTTCTAAGGTTCTCTCAGGGGGAGGTGCTGAGGCTTGAACTTCAATAGTGTACCATAAGCGATAGGGTCTCTGGCGTGAATCAGATGCGAGCTCCTGAGCTTTAAAGGGAACATTTTGACCGTCTTCATCTTCCTCATCAACTTGTACCCTGAAAACAAATTGATCTATTCTTATACCACTTTACACAACAAACCACAGAAACAAAATTCACCAAGTCTTTTAATGTTCATGATTCCTTAGCTACTTTTTCAGTTTGAATGTATTCACCTCGCTGCTCCAGAAGAGTCCCCAAATGATTCAAATGAAACAATTCCAGTAAAAGCGCCTCGTTTCCAGGGTGAGACCGTTATCACATGCTCAGCAGTTTTGCCAGGAAGAACTGTTACTGAAGCTGGGCCACTGACAATGTCCAAGTCAGTCTTCACCTAACAAGAAACCACAAGAACCTTGACACAGGTTTGGCAATTTGTCACTTAAAGAATTCAAACAAAAAACAAACAGAATTTCGTGCCCTTACTGGAACTACACTAAAAGCCCGGTACTTGTTGCTATGCTGTAGTTACATTCACCTGTTTTCGATTTTGGTGTGTGTAAATATGCTTTAACTGGTCAGCTCACAGGGGTTACTCAGGTGTAATAGAGACAGGGATGGGCAATCCCTTACTTGGTGTCGACCTATCATGTTTTTAGGTCAAAAATTAATATTTCGAAAAAAAGAAGACCTCGGTGCAGACATTTTTCAGTTGGAAAAACAGAAAGGCCACCCAGGGTTATCATTTTTAAAGTAAAAAAATTGCAAATGTCTCGAAGCCGCCCAGCTTTTAAAACCAATTTATTTGTGGAAGGACTTTCCTCGTGTCCTTTTCCTGAACCGATAAACGTTTGGAGTCCGGTTTTGGCCTTTCTGAGGTATAACAAGTTCGCATACTTCTGCCACTATTTTACATGATTATCATCCCCCCCCCGCTCCCCCGACCGGGCTAGTAATAGTTTGCTCCTACGATATTCTAATGAGAACTACTTATTTGTCTCAAACTCAAATGAAAGCGAACGTGAAACAACCCAAGTCGACTTCTTATAATTCTGGAGTATGAAACACTTTTTTTAGCTGACAACGCCTCGGCAGATAGGAGCTTTAAGGCAGAACATACAGCCTGTCTTCTGTGTCTCCTGATTCATTCCGTAGTGCTTCGAGACCTTCAATATTGGGGTAACAAGTTTCTATACAAACCTGAAAAACGAGTTTGTTTCTTGTCACGTTCGGTACTTGCAGGGTGTAGGTGGCACTGTTAACAGAATAAATTAATTATTTCAGTTGGTATCTTGGACTTATTCCGTGTCTGTAATGCTCCAGTTTGTCCATAGGCAAAACGAAAAGTTAAACAGCAGGACAAAATAGTGAAGACCCGAGTGCTAAATTTACGTATAATAATCGAACTAATAACCGCTTAAACTGGGGTTGTTATGAAACAGAAACTTGAGCTAATTATAGGGTAAACCCATTTATGCCAAGCTAAAACTGCTAGCCTGCAAGCATCTCGCGCCGGCGTTCTCTGGTGTTTCGCATCGTTCGCCTTCAATGGAGAGCTTGCTAACAGGCTATAAAACTGCAGACTGATAGATCTTAGCAAAGACAAACAAGCATAAACTGAAACGACGCAACACTTAGGACAAAGAATCAATCTAGGCACAAGTTTTTTTTTAAAAAAATAAACAGTTTCAGTAGGCCTCTCCAAAGACAGTTAGAGGTTTGTAAGGCTTGTTATCGTCACCTTTCTCTTGCGGGACACTCTATCAAGATATGATCCAGTGGTAGTGGTTTCTGTCCTGTTCCTAACAGTTTATAGACTTGTTCCGTACCATCTACTGTGTTCGTCAGAACCAGCCTTCCCTGAATGATAAGACAAACGCATACATATCAAAACTTAGCAAAGCCTAATTGCGGAGTAAATATCAAAAGTGATATATGAAGTGTGTATGGAGCCCGTATTATTCTTATGAAAAACTTAGCAAACTTGATTGAATAATAGTCGTTTAATCTTCTACAAATCGTCAAATTGAGGTTTTTAAATATTAATAGGGAGCTTTAACCCGAGAACGCTGACATCCAGGACTTCATAAATAGCAACCGGAGGTTTGTTTTTCCCTTGAATGAACGCCTCTGTCTGACAAAATAAATTAAAACAACAACAACAACAACAACAACGACAACAACAACAGCTTTACTTAACTTGTGTAGCATGACTTTATCCAGTCAGACCACTGTAAGAGGGAAACGATTAACTTCTTCTTGTTTTCTTTTTTAACATCATGAACGTCAATGTTCTCGTTGTTTAAGTTCGCTAGCATCAAGGGTGGGGGATACTGAGAGGCGACAGGAAGTAGTCTAAAGACGTCACCCTCCCCACCCTCAAAGATCCGTTCTTACTCAGCAATCAAGCACTCACCTCTACGTTTCCCTCGTAAGAAGGTCTAAACATCAGGGGGTAGTGGGTGGAGAGGTGTGATTTGGCTACCATAACAGGAGGTCCGTAA